TTATCTGCTTTCCGGAGGGACAACTCTCTCCGTGACTCCCTTGTCCGCTCCACACTCCCCTCCAGCTCCACCACACCCGGCACTTTTCCCTGCAACCGCAGGAAGTGCTACACCTGCCCCCATACCTCCTCCCTCACCCCCATCCCAGGCCCCAAGAAGACTTTCCACATCAAGCAGATGTTCACCTGCACATCTGCCAATGTGGTATACTGCATCCGCTGTACCCGGTGTGGCTTCCTCTACATCGGGGAAACCAAGCGGAGACTCGGGGACCGCTTTGCAGAACACTTACGCTCGGTTCGCAACAAACAACTGCACCTCCCAGTCGCGAACCATTTCAACTCCCCCTCCCATTCCTCAGACGACATGTCCATCCTGGGCCTCCTGCAGTGCCACAACGATGCCACCCGAAGGTTGCAGGAACAGCAACTCATATTCCGCTTGGGAACCCTGCAACCCAATGGTATCAATGTGGATTTCACAAGTTTCAAAATCTCCCCTCCCCCCACCGCATCCCAAAACCAGTCCAGCTCGTCCCTGCCTCCCTAACCTGTTCTTCCTCCCACCTATCCCCTCCTCCCACCCCAAGCCGCACCTCCATCTCCTACCGACCAACCTCATCCCGCCCCCTTGACCTGTCCGTCCTCCCTGGACTGACCTATCCCCTTCCTAACTCCCTACCTACACTCACCTTTCCTGGCCCCATCCCCGCCTCTTCGACCTGTTTGTTTCCTCTCCACCTATCCTCTCCTCTATCCCTCTTCTATCCGCCTCCCACTCTCTCCCTATTTATTTCAAAACCCCCTTCCCCTCCCCCTTTTCTGATGAAGGGTCTAGGCCCGAAACGTCAGCCTCTCTGCTCCTATGATGCTGCTTGGCCTGCTGTGTTCATCCAGCCCTGCACCTTGTTGTCTCAGTATTTGGTATATTGGTCTCTAAATAAGAGTTTTGGGGGAATTTCAGAGAGTCAGACAACAGGCACTATTGGGTGAAGCAAAAACACATACAAGATACAGCAAAGGCACAGTACAGCCTGAGAGAGCAACTTCTCAGTTGGACAGGAGTCATTCCCGATCCCCAAATCTCATGCTTGGTAGAATTCATGACGACAGATCAATTACGAGTTGTATCTGTGGAATCCGATCAATTCATAGTGTCACCTGAAACTACTGAGGTGGGCCCTGCCACTTTGCTGTACCTGTTGTAAAAAGTCATGTCACTTTGCTGTTGAGTCATTCATTCCCCAACAGCCTGCTTTGGGTAGAGAACTTAGAATGATCAGCAACGGGTGCCTACTCAAACAGTAAGACGTGTGTCTCAATTGATTTCGAGCTAGACATGTGATAATCAGTCAGAGAGGCTGCTATTGATTATTACTGAGTGATAGATGAAATGCATACATAGACACTGGGCAAAGTTTGAAAGGATTACTGGCCTACACTTTCTATCAACATTTGAAAAGCCTGTCAACATTCACTGCCTCTATTCCACATGAGAATGATGTAGCAGTGTTCTGTTGTCACTACAGCACTGTCTTCTAGGTATGAGAGGGAGAATGGGTTAGAAAACGGGATAAAAATATTTCTACCTTAAACAAAAACCAAGAAACGATAGATTTTGCTTTGCTAAGAACGTATTTTTAGCGGATGAATTAAATCCAATTGACAGCACATTCAAATCAGGATTCTCACTTTAAGTCTGAAGTTGGATTAATGATGACTGACTGCTAAGTGGACCATCTTAAAACTCTAAACCAATACAGTGGAGTGGAAGGGGTTAAAAAGTGAGGGGGAAAAGATAATAAAATTGTTATTTGTAATTTGCTTCTTTTGTCAATTTATTTTTACCTCCTTTTCCTGATCCTTTCATGAGTGGGAACAAGTTCTCCATACTACTCTGTCCCAACCACTCATGGTTATAGAGACTTCAATTAAAAGTCCTTGCAACCTTTGTTTCTCCAAGGATTGTCTCCAATCTACCTTAATAGCTGAAGTTTTTCATTCTTGGAAACATTTCATGATTCTTTTCTGAATTCTTTCTAATGCTTTTAATATTTACATAGGAGTGCAACCCTGGAAAACACAGACAAAGTAAAGTAGTGTTGCCATGGTGCTATGGCTCATTCCGAAGAAGTGGAAAGCATCTGCTACTTTTGCATCATTCTGCTATGAAGCCCACTCCTGTTGAGGCTCCAGAAATGCATATGATAATGCAACGGGATTGAAGTCTTGGATTTATGAATCTCCCACCCTTTTTCTCTAGCTCACAATGTCCCATAAGCAGAGTGCAGTCAACACAAAACTTTGGCACACCACATTTCATCACATTGGGAGTCAGACTCAATTAATTTTGGTTTAGTCTGTTCCGATGTGTACCGCTCCAAAAAAATAAACGCACATCTCATTTATTAAATCGGATTGTGATCTGTCTCTAGCTCTTCAATTTGCAGTTTCATTCCTAACATTTTCCTGATGGTGATGTTTACGATGCAAAGTAATACAACAGAAAACAGGAAACAGAATTAGATGACATGAAGTGATGATGTGCAAATTTTTAGTTCTAGTCTGTTATCTATGCAGATGTTAAATTCCAAGAACAATACATACCAGGATAACCGCCCACATAAATTGGATCATTAGTGTCTGCTGAGGTTGACTGAAGATGGGGATTGTCAGCCTGCACAGAAACTCCATCCATAGTCAGTGTAATACGATGCTTGCTCTTATTGGCTCGAAGTTTATGCCATTTCCCATTGCACAGCTGGTTTGAATCCTTGGGTTCATATCTAGCAGTTATTCTTCCAGCTCCATTATTTACATGGAACAGAACCTGAGAGGAAAGTCATTTTATCAGTGAAAGAATGCTCTATACAAATACTAACTTGCAAGGACAAATGAAATTGCCTTCTTCCAAATGTACCTTATATACCCAAGGCAGCGTAATATTTCATGACACACTTCTTCCAGTAAAAAGCTGCCCATGTTTTTCAACAGGGTAAGCCCTTAGTTTCCATGGGATAGAAAAGCACAGATTTACAGAATTGTGAGAGCGCAGGAAACCACTTGGCCCATCATATCTATGCCAGCTCTCTGAATGATTAATTCGTTTAGAGGCAGAGTCCACTTTCTCTCTGTAACCCTGCACATTCTTCTTTTACAGAAAACCTTCTAAGTCCCATTTGAATGATTCAAATGAAGCTGTCAGGCAGAGCTGCTTTCTCTCTGGTTGCTCTTGCTTCTTTTACCAAGAATGGAAATCATGAACATCGTGTTGCATAAGGGCATAGATTGCTCAACAGTCTGAGGAATTATGAATAAAGCTGAACATTGTGCCATTTCCTGTTCACAGCCCCATGCTGAGGGCGAGATAACTGATGACTGAATAGTTTGCCCTAACACCTAGCCCGGTATCATCTGCTAGAGCTGGAAATGTTGACCTTCAACAGGTACACTCATCTTTAGAGTCATAGAGTCACACAGCACGGAAGCAGATCGTTTGGTCCAACTTGTTCATACCAACTAGACATCCCAATCTGATCTAATCCCATTTCCCAGCATTTGGCCCATATCCCTCTAAACCCTGAGATAACAAGGTGTAGAGCTGGATGAACATAGCAGGCCAAGCAGCATCAGAGGAGCAGGAAGGCTGACGTTTTGGGCCTAGACCCTTCTTCAGAAATTCCTATTCTTGTACCCATTCAGTTGCCTTTTAAATGTTGTATTGTACCTGTCTCCACCACTTCTTCTGGCAGCCTGTGCCACACACACACCACCCTCTGCATAAAAAAAGTTACCCCTCAGGTACTTTTTAAACTTTTCCCCTCTCACCTTAAACCTATGCCCTCTAGTTTTGGACTCCCCCACCCTAGGAAAAAGACCTTGGCTATTCAACCTATCCATGGCCCTCATGATTTTATAAACCTCAATAAGGTCACCCCTCAGCTTCCGATGCTGCAGGAAAAATATTCCAAGCCAATTCAGCCTCTCCCTATAGCTCAAACCCTCCAGTCCTGGCAACATCCTTGTAAATCTTTTCTGCACCCTCTCAAGTTTAACAACATCATTCGTATAGAAGGGTGACTAGAATTGTGTGCAGTGTTCAAAAAGTGGGCTCACTAATGCCCTGTACAATTGCAAAATGATGTCCCAACTCCTATACTCAATGTTCTGATCAATGAAGGCAAGTGTGCCAAAAGCATTCTTGACCATTCTGTCGACTTGCGACTCCACTTTCAAGGAACTGTGCACTTGCACCCCTAGGTCATTTTGTTTGGCAACACTCCCCAGGGTCCTATCATTAACTGTATAAATCCTGCCCTGATAAGCCTTACCAAAATGGAACACCTTACATTTATCTAAATTAAACTTCATCTGCCACTCCTCGGCCCATTTACTCTGAGATATCTTCTTCACTATCCACTACACCACCTATTTTAGCATCATCTGCAAACTGAATCCGTCAAAGACCCAGTAGCAATGCCAGGAAAGTAGTAAAAGAAGCTTAGCAGGGTTGGAGGTGAAAAAAAACTCATGTTGGGTAAATCTGAAACAAAAACAGAAACTGCTGGAAAAACCCAGCAGGTCTGGCAGCATCGATGGGGAGAAATCAGAGCTAAAGTTTCAGGTCCAGTGACCCTTCGTTCGAACTTGATGCTGCCAGACCTGTTGAGTTTCTCCAGCAATTTCTGTCCTTGTCTCGGTTTCCCTCAAAACTGCAACCGCAGTTCTTTCAGTTTTATGTTGATAAATCTTTATGTGTGTAGAAATTACAGAGTACACATGAATACTGATGAGGCTCAATCAGGAAAGCCAAAGGAACAAATCTTTTAATAGATGGTACAAGATAATTGCACACAAATATCATAAGACAGTTTCCAATCAAATTTCTTTATGCTATGGATGTGTTATTGTTTAGCCTCAATGAGTGCTTTAATTCAGGTTGTGTGTGTCCAAATTCAATTCAGTTTACTGCATGCACATTGAAGGAATTAATTTTATCCCAGAAACTGTGAGCAATTTAATAAATTTCACTCACCAATGAGCAATATTAATTGATCCAACATAATAATTGAAATTGACGCAGGTGCTGACACTCTTTCTTTAAACACTTTTTCCCCACTCCTGATAATTTGCTTTATTATAATTACAACCGAAGACTCCCAGACACTTATCTTAATGTCTGCATTGCATCCAGTGCTGTTGGTGGTGTCTGGAAGTTTGTTAGATGAAAGAAGCTTTTCCCAATTGAAATCAAACAAACTACTAAAACAATCACTGACTCACACAGCATGATGGAAACAGACTCTTCGGTCCAACTAGTCCCACCTGCCTGTGTTTGACCCATATCCCTCCAAACCTTTCCTATTCATGTACTTATCTAAATGTCTTTTAAACATTGTAATTGTACCTGCATTCACCACTTCCTCTGGCAGTTCAACCGACACACTAATCGTTCTCTGTGTAAAAAAGTTGCCTGTTTTAAAATCTTTCTCCTCTCACCTTAAAAATATGCCCCCTAGTTTTGAACCTTAGGGAAAAGACCTTTGCTATTCACCTTAGCTATGCATCTAATGATGTTATAAACCTCTATATGGTCACCTATCGTCCTCCTATGCTCCAGTGAAAGAAGTCCCAGTCTATCCAGCCTATTTTTATAACTCAAACCCTCCATTCCCTGCAAAATACTGGTAAATCTTTTCTGAATCTTTCTTTGCTTTAGCTAGGACTTGAACCAGTGGACAATTTTCTCTCCGATCCACATATAGCCTCAGTTGTAGTAGATTGCTTCTCTTTTGGCAAATGCTGTCCGAAGCCTTGCTTGAGAAAAGGAACTTTCCATGATTTAATTTTGTAATCTTGAAAATATTCTGAAGACTTCTATCAAGTACAACCTTGTTGCCTCTTTTTCATGGAAGTCCTAGGGTAGGTAATCACTTCTTGTATAACCCTTATGTACATCACTTCTAATTTCAAGAAGCAGACTCATAGCAAATCTCTGGACTATCTCTCTAATGCAATCTCTGTAATGTTATGGAAGCTGCCCAATTCACTACTGAATTTAAGACATTACCAAAGGCTATTAAGGTCACTTATGGACACTGGAAATATAGTTTGATTGGTTTAATTTGATGGTAGGTGCTTGTTCATTGACAGTTTGTTGGACGTAATTATAATTAATACTGGCTGTATTTGTACAGATGTCTGCTGGTTTAGTATGCATGAAAGTCCCACATGAGCAAAAGAAACATTTAGCCATTGATCCAGCAGGTTTTAGCACAAAACATTTTGAATTTGCCATTTGACTATCTGAATGTAATAGCAACTGATCTCAATTGCCTAGCCGACATACACAGTCTGTTAAATGAATCTAGAACAGGAGAGCAGGTATTCCCTTCTCACCTTGCCATTTACAATCTCTAATCCAATTGCATCCACCTTAGCACTGCTGATGCCAAGCAGTACCGCGTTTCGGGTTGTACTGCGGAACTCAAATGTAATAATTACATCTGACCTCACTTTGTAACCTTCTTTCACTGCAAATAAAACAGAAAAAACGGGTTTCATTCACATTCAAGTTCTTTATTACAGAGATTTTTAACCCACAACAAGAACAAAGTCTTTAGCGAGGAATTTTCTCATTTTCACACATTGTGATCTTTTATTTGTTTATGGGATGAGGGCGTCGCTGGCTAGGATGCATTTATTGCTAATGTAGTGACAATGTTCTGCCATTCCTGACCAAGGGGGAGTTACCGTAAATTTCCAAATTTGCATCTCACCACGAGCAGTCACCCAGATAGTGAAGCATACTTTACTGATCCTACTCAGACTGAATTGCTCTAAAGAGAGCCAGTGTGCAACCAGTGGGTGAAATATCCTCCCTGTGTGCAGTGAAGACTCTATAACCCCCTTGCAGCAGGCAGTTACTGAAGCATCAGGTAAGGTGAGGTAGTTGATCCTGAATGAATTTGTAAGGCTACCCAGGAATACAGCAGGGGACTGACTGCCATACAAAGATCATGGCCGATGTGGGTGTGGCCTCAGCTACATTTTCCTGTCTGCTCCCCATAACCCTGAGCTCCTTTGTCTGTCATAAATCAAATAAATTCAATGATTCAACCTCCACTATTTACTGGGGAAGATGAAAGAACCTCCAACAGAATAAATTTATTCTCTTTTCCATCTTAATTATTCTTATTGATCTTATTCTTAAGCTGCATTCCCCAGTTCTATTTCTCACAAGAGGAAGCATTCTTCACCCTAATCAGTCCCCTCACCATCTTTATATATTTCAATCAGGTCACCTCCTCATTCTCTAAACTCCAATGGGTAAGGAACTAACTTGTTCACCCTTTCTTCTTAAGATGAGCCTTGTCTCCCAGGTATTAGTTCAGTAAGTTTCTATTGAATTGGAAGGAATTATGAATCGAGCTGAACGCTGTCCCATTTCCTGCTAACAGCCCCACTCTGATGGCGAGGTTACTGATGAATAAATAGTTGGTCCCAACACTTAGCTCGGTACCATAAGCTGAAGCTGTGAATGTTGACCTTTCTTTGCAACAGCTGGTGGAGAATTTACTCTCTGACCCACATTGAGTTCAGCTGTAGAAAAGCTCTTCTCTTTTGTCCATATTTAGACCAAGGCTGTAAACGAGGTCTGAATCAGAGTGGTCTGAACAAAAAAATAACAAAGGTCGACTCTGTCTTCAACGCCACTCAATGGTTTTGAGAGACAGAATGGACGGCAGAGATAGGGAAATCAATATCTCTTCTCATTGAACCTCCAGTAGAGTCTGGAGGCTCAAGATAAAGAGGAATATAGATGTTAGATAACTATTGCTATTCTCTCAGACTGAAGTTAATTATACAGGTTGTCTGGCAGAAAGTATGAGGGAAACACAATACTCATTTAATTACAATATACAGTATCTTTCTAAATTTTGCAACAACGCTAATGCCACCCTAAGGAGATGAAGGTAGAATCACTTGCTGTTTGGTTTTAGGAATGTTAATAAGTACCTTCAAGTGTAAAGTGTTTAACACTGACATTTAACCCGACTTACCCAGTGCAGCAAATCCAGTGCCATCAAAGAAAGTGCCCTCCTGGACAGCCGTGTAACACCTGCTCACAGTAAGGACGGAAACTGGCCTCTCCAAGTTCAGGGGCTTGTTATTTAATGTCACGTTGCCAATACAAGCAGGGATACTGTGTGTTGCCTGAGGAAAATAACTCTTAATGAGCTGGAAGTACAATAATTCACAACAGATTACAACCCCTTTTGCTATTTCTTGTTTAATTTGATCCAATGCTTTCCATGATGTTCTTTCCCCCTTGCATACTATGTGGTATAACTTGGATCAGACAGACAATTTCAGTGAGGTTGATGTGTGTATTTTTCAATTGCTGAGTTTCAAATCGTAATAAGTAACAGGTTCATACTACGTTCCTCAGTCTGTTATACTTCAGAGGATTGTGGGTCATTTAAAATGAGTGGGTAAATGCTGCTTGATAAACAGTGTAATGTGACTGTTCAGCATTTTTACCTTATCATCACCAAATGGAAAATATTACCTTTTTAGGCATCTTCTAAGTCTAACCCAGAATTACTGCATAGAGGCAACCTTAAAGCATGAGTCAGTCCCAGATCCAATTCCCTAATGCTCTCTCAGCAAGCCTAGTTTAGCAGCTTTTAAACTTCTGATAAGGTGAAGCATTCCTGAATGAATGAGTGCAACAAGGAGAAGAACCAGTCTATGGATCTGTGACTCTCATATTTAGCATGGGACTTTTATGTGGGTATGTACTTGTTTGTTCTGCTCAACTCTTGCATTCTTAGAATTCACAGAAATCTGCCTTCAATATTGAATACTGCCAGGGACTGACAGCCTGCCGCTGCCGCTAAGAATAGGTCACCAGTCTTTGTGGTACTGGGTTTTCTCTGCAGTTACCAAGAGATGGCAAGGTGGGTCTGTTCAAGGGACTGAATGGCCTACCTCTCCTTATGTTCCAACCCGAACCTCCATCGAAGTGTCAGGCAGGAGACAGTCAAGTCTGTTAATTCCTAAAGTGGGAAGCTCCCAGCATCAGACCCTGGGCCATCATTTCCAATGCACTCACTTGCCTCCACAATGTAATGTGATGGAAGTGAGGTGAGTGGGGCAAGGGGCAGGGGGTTAGTGTTGGCAGGACATCAGTCGCATCTCGATACGGGAGACCGAAACCAGGATTCAGGCCCACAGAACACCATGAAAAGAACTGATACATATATTTTTTAAACTTTTGGAGATTAGGGACAGTGTTTCCAGTTTCCAGGATTGAATATTAGATATTCACAAGGCACCATCACGGTTACAACCAATCAACTGGCCTGATGTGGGGTGGCATTTCTGATTTCAGTTTGGAAGTTGTTTTCCATGTGGAGATGAGCACAATCTTTCAACTTGTAGGTGAGAGGAATCTTGATCGCCTAGCTACTTACAGACAGATATTATTTACATCAATCTAGTATCTCAATGTTAAATACTGTAACGATTATTTAAAAGAAACAGATTGAGATTTAAGGACTGCCCATAACCTTATGACTAAAGAAACAAAAAGGTGACTCAACAGTTGTCTCCATTCCTTTTAGTGATTTATCAGTTGTACAAAATATGAGGACTTTTTTCTGAAGATCATTTCTTTTTATGTAATCATGTATCCATTTCCTTTGTAGCCCTACAACATCCTTTTTCAGCAAGGAGAGGACAGGACAGGATGGAGACAGCGTTTGCTGATAATGCCGTTTCCTATCAGTTAATAGGGAGCATGTTTTACTCTCCTTCCTTCCTCTGCTCCCTTTCCCCTCCCTGAGTGACGCAGTTATCTCAAGCCACTATTACCCTCACGGTAGCTGGGACCTGGATAGTGCAGTTAATCAGTCCATCTTAAGGGAAACCTCTTGTTGTAATGTTGCTGTCACACCGTCAGACATTAACACTTGTTCTATACAGTACTTTAACTTCCCACCTTCAGAAGCAGCTCCCCATTGTAAGACAGGTAAATTCACTCTCATGTGCTCAATGCTAAATGTTACTGATATACTTCTGTTCAAGTATGCATGCTTTATCGCCAGTGATATTGACACATAAGAATAGCATGTTAGCAAGATAGGGGGAGGGCAGAGAGAGAGAGAGAGACACACACACACACACACACACTTCACTGGTCTGACACCAGAGTTATTCTTACATTTCCTATTTTCCTGGCAGTGTAGTCTAAAGGCAAACCTCCAAGATATAGCTTTCCTTCAACATCCAGTGAGTTACCATCTCCCAAAGCTGGGCTAGATTCCTTCCCATCGATGGTAATCATACCTCTTCGCTTCACATATTCTGTTTTCACCTTTGGGAGAGAGTGATGAAAGAGAAAATGAGAGTGATTGAAATAAGAAGATCTAACTCCCCACTACGTATACCAGAACTAGTACATGACTGATCTGTTAGTAGATCACCTTTGCAGCAATCTTCCAACTCTCAACAGTTCAAACACTCGGTAATTTTTCTCATCGATTCATGGCCGTCTTTCTTCCAGAAAAGTACGTTCCGAAATATGGTTCACTACTGCTTCTAACAGCTGTCTCATTTCGGAATCAATATCCACTTCTGCTAAACAATGTGACGATTGACAAATAACAAGAACAACTTGTATTTATGTAGTCTCCTTGACGTAGCAAAACATCCCAAGTCACTTCAAAGGAGAGTCATCGAACAACAGCTGAAGCTGTGAAATTTGAGCTCCATGTTAGAAGACACGCCGAGGGCTCAGTCAAAGAAGTAAGTTTAAAGAGCATCCCAGTGGAGGAGAGATAGAGAGGCAGAGGGGCTTTGGAAGACAGCTAGGGAATTTAGTACATAGGCAGGTTACACATTCCTTACTGATTAAAGAGCAATGTGAGGTTGAAATCCTACAGGGTGTTGTCACTTGTCTGGTGTAAATGGGTTGGTCGAGCTATTGAAAATCACCAAATATAATGCAATCGCTATTATCTTCAGGTTTCCCTAAGACAAAGGGGCAGAATTAGGCCATTCTGCCCATCTAGTCTGCTCTGCCATTCAACCATGGCTGATCTGTTTCTCAACCCCATTTTCCTGCTTTCTGCCCATAACCTTTGATCCGCTGAAATAACAGCAGACAAGTGGGGAAACCTCTTGTGGAAATTAACCACTTACGATTTTGCATTTCATCAACGTTGGAAAAATTAGATTGCATTAAAATAAGTTAAAGCAAAATTATAACCTATGCCCCCATATATACCAGGCTTCTTTCAGCCATGCACTGTTCCTGTTGATAGTCTGTTCTAAGGCAACTGCTGACCTGAATAATTGCCACCCACAGGTAGTAAACGGAGATGGGCTTCCTGGGTAAAACCCTTGGTTTTGCTGCTACCTTGTTGACCCAGAGTTACCCTGTGGAAATCCCGATCTAGAATTTGGGCCTCTGGGCACTCACTTGCCAGGCATAAAATTGGCACAACGAAGCCAAATTCAGACTGCAACATCATGTGTCCTAAAGATACCTAAAAAAAAGTCAGACCCATGATTGGTTTGGGCTATTTCTCATGGGTCCACCTTTGCAGAACACCTCTGCAATGAATGACCCAACCTCTGAGTTGACTGGTTGACTGCCATCTTAACCTACCACCTTGCTCCCACGCTAACATTTCCACCCTGCTCCTGCTGCTGTGTTCCAATGAAGCTCAACAAAAGTGGGCAGATCAACACCCTGTTTTCTGCTCAGGCACTTTACAGCCTCCAGGATTCAGTGATGAGTTCCACAGCTACAGAGCCTGACCCCCCGAGCTCTTATGTTCTATGACAGCTCTTGCAGCTCAAAGGAAGCCCAGACAAATGCTGACCCCACCCCACCACGGCCAACTCATGGACCCGGGTGGCTCATGGAACAGGTTACAGGTTGAAAGGATAAACACAAACATTGTGTTCATATGCTAAAACTGGTGTTTGGTGGTTTCAATATCGAAACCGAAATGCAAGTGCTGACATGACTGTGCCAGAATTTCCACAGCGCCAAATGGCTCACTGTCTGCATAAAACAACTATGAGAGACAAGAAGGGATATGTGAAAAAGGGAGGATATGGCATGGAGATGGAAGATTTGCCATGATCGTACTATTTGGCAGAATAGCCTCGAAGGGCCAAATAGCCTCCTTCTGTTCCCAGTTTCTGTGTTATGAGAGCTGCAGTGAAGGCTGTGGGACTTAGACATACCGTGAATCGGAACAATCCCTGATTCTCCAGTCCGGTTGGTTTAAGGTGCTTGCTGTAAATATGGCTTACGGTGGGGGAAGGAATTGCATTATGACAAACCTTTTGTGAGGCTTCTTTAGGGTATTCTTTACACATTATAATTCTTGCATACTGCCCAGAATCACTACTTTGAATGGGTGCAATAGTCAAATAGAAGTTTCTTTTGCAGCCCAAGTTGTACTTACCAAAAAAAAAAATTCACAGTGTGTGGGTGTGGGTGTGGGTATGCCAGTTTGTGATTCAGGTGGCAGCAGTTATTTCTTACTGATTTCATCCAGTTTTTGTGTAACAAGAGCACATTTAATAACTTGTTCTGTCTGTTCCGCAGCTCTATTGTAAATTGGAGCTGTAATTTGCAAAATACTGTGAATGCTGAAAAAGTACAGTAAAAACTGAAAGTGCTGGGAGGGGGGCCTCAGCAGCATCTGTGGAAAGAGAGAAACAAAATTAATGTTTTGAGTCGGAGACAATTCTTTGTCACTGGTAATTGTCCTTGATATGGTGGTGTACACTTCTCATTGCATACAATGGAGGGTATGAGTAGGCTGCGTCATGCTAGCCATTTAAGACTCAGCTGCATTGCTGTAGTTCTGGGATTACGTGTGGGCCAGATTGAGTAACAATGATAGAATTCCCTAAAAGACATCAATCCAGTAGTTTTGTAGTCACTGGCACTGATACAAGTTCTTACAATTCCAGACTGTAATAGCACACCCAATTTGCCATTTTGTATGGATATATCATCCAGATTTCCTTCCCATGTGTTTGCACAGTGTCTTGAGCCTGTCAAGTAAAGATACCACATTTTGACAATAAGATGGGACTGCTATCTGGACAAATTTGGATTGGATGAGCTTCCAGTAAATCAGTAAAAAAATTGCATGTTTTTGTTTTGCTGAGAAATATTTAAAAGTCCAATTTCCAAACAATAACTGGTGTCACCCCTTCAATATTTTCCGTAGCTTGCTTGCTGCTATGGATTTCCACAGGAAACTGTGTCTGGAAATGGAGCTCACTTTTGTTCGGAAGGGATTTCAAATTTCACGAGAATAAACAGGGTTAGAAGAAAGGGGATCTGACAAAAAACTGTCTCCAACTCAAAACATTAACTTTGTTTCTCTCTTTCCACAGATGCTGCTGAGACCCCCCTCCCAGCACTTTCTGTTTTTACTGTACTTTTTCAGCATTCACAGTGTTTTGCTTTTATTTGAGCAAATTACAGTTCCACTTTAAAATGGAGCTGTGGAACAGACAGAACAAATTATTAAATGTGCTTTTGTTAAACAAAAACTGGATATAATTGGGAAGAAATTACTGTTGCCACGGAATCACACACTGGCATTTGTTTTGTTTATTTATTGTAACAAAAGTGAAACATAGAAGATGGGAGCAGGAGTAGGCCATTCGCTCCTTAGACCCTGCTCTGCCATTCATTATCATGGCTGATCCTCAAGCTCAATGCACTAATCCTGCCCTCTCCCCCTAACTGCAAGAGCTATATATATACATCCTCCTTCTTGGAAACACCAATGTTTTGGCCTCAACCACTTTCTGGGGTAATGAATTCCACACCTCATATCATCACCAGTAGAAGACCAACTGGAGACAGATTAGAATGAGGTCTTCATCACTGAGTGCACATTTAGCACACAGTCTGTGGAAGAAAAACACGCCAGACAGAAAGAGTGCAGTGATGAAGGTTGAGTGAGAGAAAGATGTCTGAAGTTGAACCAGAAGGTTAAGGTGAAAGAATGTAGGTTGAAGTGGCTACCAGGAAAATGTGTAAAAATATATTGTGTGTATTGCATCAAGGTGTTTAGTGGTGGAAAGGCTTGGCTTGTCCATGCAGATAATCATGTTTTACCTTCAGAGATTTAAGAATAAGAAGGGAATTGGGGAAGGTCAAATAAATCTGGTAAATTAGATTGTTTGGATAGTTGATCCAACACAAGCTATACATGAAACCAGTTCAGATTCAAGCCAGAGGCAGAGAGACATGTCTAATGAAACTGGAAACACAATTGAAAGAGCAAAATCAGCCAACATAGGTCAAGTACTGTTTCAGAGATAGTAAGAACTGCAGATGCTGGAGAATCTGAGACAACAAGGTGTAGAGCTGGATGAACACAGCAGGCCAAGCAGCATCAGAGGAGC